ACCTAATTCGAAATTAATTTGTAGATCGCCAATATTAATGAAGTCGGAAGCAAAAGGCGAGTAGTGGTATGGATAGTACCACTTCCAAGACGGAACGCCCTATATTATTAAACGCGTGAATTAGTACATGGCATAGAATTTCGGCTTAAAAAATAACAAAAAATGCATGCCTGGAAATAATATCGCAAAACCCAACATAGGCCTTCAATATAACTTCTTACAATGCTGAGAAAGTCAATTAATTAAAGTCAAATTACAGATTCATATATCACCAAAGATTTTGATCAGAATAATGGCAAATTTTACGTAATATAAATGGGATTTATCCCAAGACATTACGCAATACCTGTCACTACAATTAATAAAATACAAAATATTACTTTGAGCGAAATTCATGAAATTGTTCATTAGACACCTCGACATCGAATTTATCCTTGTAATATCGTTCTTTAAAACCAGGCTCCCACAGTCTGATATAAAAATAAAAATTTTATCAAATTAGCATAAGTAAAAAAAATGTTAAAAAGATAAAAGAACGATTAATACCTAACAGGATCTTCTTGTTCTGCATCATCTGAGGGAATTGCTTGACTAGGTGTTTCTATTTCATTTTTATCTTTAGTATCAATATAGGTTTCTTGACTATTATCATCCAAAAACTCGGACTTTCTTTTTATCCCGACAGAATGTGATGATATTAATGTATCCGCATTATCTGCAGCCACTTCTGGTGTTTCAGTTGTAAATTGAGTCATAGGTGTATCTATCGTCGTTTGAAAGGATTGAAGTGTACTCAAATGTTCGGTAGGAGCCTCATCAGAAGTGGCCGTATGAGCTGAGGGTTCTATCCCACTCAATTCAGCCTTTAATAATTGTGCGGCATTTAAATTAGCCATTCGTAACGCTTGCCGATTAACAACAACATCTTGGTTTGTTCTTGCTCGAACTTGCGAGTCAAGACCTTTAACAGGAAGAAGTGGCATGCCAACAGGCAAATGATCTAAGCCTGAAGCGGGGTATACTCCGGTTGGAGAGTATTTATCATTAATCCGCCGGCGCTTTGGTGCGGGCTGCGACGTACGCCTTTGTTGATCTTTAATTATATTCAAAGTTTAATTATATCAAAGCTTTTAATAAGTCATTAATGAAGTATTGATAATTGAAATAATACCACATACCTCTGTGCCTTCTAATGAAAATTTCATCTTCCATTTTACCTAATTCAGTCACCAAATACTGCATCCTTTTTAGATCTACCTAATTATTATTGAATTAATATATTTAGTTTAAATTTTCAAAAAAATAACTAAAAAAAATAAATTTATATTATATATACTTGCATTTCCGCAATTTGTTAAATACCCTTGCATTAATGGTAAACAACGTTTCCATATAGATATCAAGGTATCTATTGCGCCTTCTCTTATTTCTAAGGATGGTAAGTGTGGAAGAAAGTCATTTCCCACAAAGAAACAAAGAAACACCCAATCATCAATTGCATTTTCTAAGTCAAATGGCCAAGGAATAGATGGTTCTCTGAGTTCAACTGCAAGATACTCGCGAAGGGTCTCTATATTTAAAAGTACGTATGGTTTATTGTAATTCAAAATTTTTCCTTCGTTTTTGGATTTTGGGCGAGTTGTAACTAAATCAACTTTACAAACGCAATTATATATTAAGAAGAATGTCAACAATAGTCTAGTTATCGAGTTATCACATGGCATTCAAAAAGAAATACCTCTACATTGGTTGGCCATGTGGTCCATGCGACCACATATGTAACAACCCTTAAAACTGCCGTCATTAAAAAAGACATCTTCACGCAGAACTTTGAAGTGAGGCTCATGTGTACTCAGCGAAAGCATAATCAAATCAGCATCCTGTTATAAAAAAATTTTAATTAATAAAGAAGATTATCTGGGTACTATTGTTAAAAATACCAACCAAGCCATATATGACGTGTCGTGTGTTGGGGTCATGGTAAGGACTGGAACGTTGTCCACGAATAAAATCCATGATTTTATGTTCACCTTCACCTGGAACATTGGCATCAGATAGGATAACTTTCAACTGGTTTATAAAAAAAGTGTTCTTGGTTAGAAAAGCTACAAACAGGTCGAAAAAAAGTCAAAA